TAGACCCATGTCTGTCACCATGCACAAAACTCAAGTCCAAATGGATCAAAGACCTCAACTTCAATCCAGCCACATTGAACCTCTTAGAAGAGAAAGTAGGAGGTACCCTTGAACAAATTGGTATAGGAGACCACTTCTTGAACATAACTCCAGAGGCACAGACACTGAAAGAAACAATTAATAAATGGGACCTCTTCAAACTTAGAAGCTTCTGTAAGGCAAAGGACACAGTTGACAAGACCAAACGGCAGCCCACTAACTGGGAAAAAATTTTCACTAATCCTATATCTGACAAAGGGCTGATCTCCAAAATATACAAAGAACTCAAGAAACTAGTCAACAAAACACCAAATAACCCTATTAAAAAATGGGGTACAGAACTGAAGAAAGAATTCTCAATGGAGGAAATCAAAAAGGCTGAAAGACACTTAAGAAAATGCTCCACATCCTTAGCTATCAGGGAAATGCAAATCAAAACAACTTTGAGATACCATCTTACCCCTGCCAGAATGGCTAAAATTAGAAACACCAGTGATGACTTATGTTGGAGAGGATGTGGAGAAAGTGGAACACTCCTCCACTGCTGGTGGGAGTGCAAACTCATACAGCCATTTTGGAGATCAGTATGGCGGTTCCTCAGGAAAATGGGAATTAGGTTACCACAGGACCCGACAATTCCCCTCTTAGGCATATACCCAAAGGATTCACATCCATGCAACAAAGACATCTGTTCAACTATGTTCATAGCAGCACTATTTGTAATAGCAAGAACCTGGAAACAACCTAGATGCCCCTCAATTGAAGAATGGTTAATGAAGATGTGGCATATCTACACAATGGAATACTACTCTGCAGAAAAAAATAATGGTATCTTGAAATTCGCAGGCAAGTGGATGGCACTTGAAGAAACCATCCTGAATGAGGTAACCCAGTCACAAAAAGAGAAACACAGTATGTACTCACTCATATATGGATTTTAGAACTAGATCAAATGATCACCAGCCTATAATTCACATCACCAGAGGAAATAGGATACAAGTTGTATTCTAAGAGATTCATATAAAGTCCCTCACAGAACTGGGAAGGGACAAGTCCCCCAGAGCTCAGGTAAAGTGGGGGAGGACAGCGAATGGAGAGAGAAGTAGGAGAAAATGAGGGGGAGGAGAGGAAGGCATGTGCGACCAGGAGGATTGAGCCTGGTTAGGAATGGAAAATAGGAAAGAGAGAGAGAGAGACAGAGACAGAGACAGAGAGAGAGAACATAAAAGAGGGAGCCAATATTGGTTTGAAGATAAAATTGAACACAAAGAAAGGTCTAGAGAACTACAAGACTGCTCCCAACTAACAATCTGAGCTTTCGTGGAAAGGCTATCATAAATGCCCTTCCTGGAGAGTGAGATCAACAACTAACTTCTCCATGGAGCCCTCAACTAATGCCTGTTGAAAATAGGAGCAAACACCCATACATAAACACTGAGTCGAACTAGAACCCAGAAGCAGATCGAGAGGACAAGACCATGCGGTAGAAGTACATAGAGACAGCTTACCTGAACAAGGAGGAGCTAAGGGCCACTAGACTGATAGCTGGGAAGCCAGCAGGGGACTGACTCGGACCCCCCTGAATATGGGTCTCAGCCAGAAGGTCTGAACAGTCTAAGAGACCTCAGACAGTGGAGCCAGGATGTATCCCCTGGTGCACAGAAGGACTTTGCAAACATATCCCCCATGGAGGGATAACTGCCTTATTCTAGAGATAGGAGAGAAGCCCTAGTCCCTACTTCACAGGACCTGTCAGATCTACATGACCCCAACTGGATGGCATTCCCCTACATATGGTATTGTGGTGGGGGGTTGGGAGGGGAGGGTGTTTAGAGTGCATGTGAGAGGGCAGAGAGGGTAAAAGGGAAGGAAGGAGAGAGGGAGGGCTGGAGGGGAGCGAGGGAGGGAGGGAGAGGTAACTGGGATCGACATGTAAAATAATAAATTAAAAAAAAAAAAAAAGCTTTGACTCCAAAATTTAAGTTGAAGAATAAGTTACTGGGGAAAAGGATTTCTATTTTTGTTTCCAAAGATGTGGATTCCTTCCAGACTAATGTGGTTTGATCACACCAGACTACCTGAAACAGAGTACAAGCTGATCCTACATTCCAAACAGCTGGACAAAACAGCCCTACAGACTACAGCTACAGCTAGGATATCTGAATCTTCTTTGAATCCCCCAAGACAGCGCCCCTTACCAGCAGGAAGTAGTTTGGAAAGAACGACGCCCAAATTCCCAAATATTGTGTATAAATGTTTGTTTTCATTTAATTGGACTTTGTTATATAAAATTAAATAAAAAAATTATATTATATAAAAATGCAGGGTTTTCCTCGTTTTTTTTTTTTGTTGTTTTTTTTTTTTTTTGTTTTTTTGTTTTTTTTTTTTTTTTTTGCATTTTCTAAAGCTGTTTATATTTTGCAACTCTCACTGTGTAAAGATTTGGGTTTTGTTTGACATAGGGTCTCAAGCATGACCTTAAACTTCTCATCCACCTGAGAAGTGCTGGGATTATAAACACATGCCACCACACCCAGGGCTTCACACATGCTCAGTAAGGACACTACCAGCTGAGCTATGTCCCCAGCCAAAGGTTTTTAAGTGACTGAAATTTTCACCCGCTTGCTTCCCAGTTTACTCTGACAAGAATGGATGCTAGCTAGGTGTAGTAGCACATACCCAAGGTTTCAAGGCTATCCTCAGCCCCTTGCCGAGTTAGATTAGAAGCAGCCTGTGCTATATGACACCCTATCTCAGGGGGGAAGAAAGAGATGGTTTGTTGGTTTGTGTGTCTAATGAAATAGACTTGAAGATTCTAAATACTTTGTGAATGTTCATTAGCTACTGTTATTAATCATTTCAGCCAGAAGCCTGATCCTAATTTGCAAGTAAAGAAGGGTCTCCTGGTAGACAGAAAAACCCTGAGGTTACTCCCTCACTTACTTGCCCTCATCTGTAGAGTCTGCCTAACCAACAGGGAAGCAGAACTCTGTGGAAGTGCAGGCCTTCATTTCTAAACTCGTGGCTAAAAATGTAGGTGGTGTGAGTCAGGCCCCCAAAAGCTGAGCAGCTGAACTTGAATCTCAAAGAAGAAAGTAACTAACCAGAAGCCCTGGGGCTTACTCCTGGAGTTAAAAAGAGGTTCCTCATGTGGCTCTGACTGGGGCGGTGGGGGGCAGTCAAAAGAAGCCAGCTAGAAATGCAGAGAAAAGAATGCCCTGTCATCAAACACAACAACAACAACAACAACAACAACACACACACACACACACACACACACACACGAGAAGGGACTGGTAACTCCATTTTACAGTTCTATATTCTATATTTCTATAACTCTAGAGGTTGAGGTGGGAGTATCTGAAGCCAACTTATGTTACATAGCGAAAAGCTGTATCAGCAACAACAAAAAGATATCACATAAAGTTTCACCTTATTCTATGTATTCAAAGAAAGTCACACCAAAGTGCATCTGACTATAAGAGCTTCAATTCTAGGTCGTTAAAATGGAGTGCTGGTGGTGGGGGGAGACTTGTGGGAGAACTGAGGAGATAAGGATAACACAGTGATGTGTGGTAAAACGTCAGAGAGGTGTCCCCCTCTGAGCCCAAGGAGGAAAGCTGAAAGCGCAGAGATCTGGTCACTCCCTCACTCTGCTCTGGGACAGCCTCAGAAAAACTGAAACTGGTCCTACCTGGCTGTCTTGAGAACATGCACATTGAACTCATTCATTAGTCCTCAGCCAGCGACCCTGAGACAGCAACAAAGACCTGTGAGTGGCCACGGCAGGGGAGTGCAGAGGGAACAGGAATGTGTGGAAGACAGAGGCCCTTAAATTCTGACTCAGATGATCCCCAAGTGAGGGTCAGGTCTGGGGAAACGGCTGATGGCTTTGTACTTCAGATGCTTTGGGGCCTCTCAGAGGACAGAAGGCCAGAGGCTCTGCTGGGGCTCTAAGCTCAGGGGAGACAGCAAAGTTGGAGTGGACACAAGGGAGCTGGGGTCAGAGGTGTCTGTGGGCATGAGGACAGAAGGTCCTGACACACTGCCCTAGCAAGCCATGAAAAAGCAGGTGAAGACTGAGGAAGAGGCCAGGTTATGAGGGGAAAAGCCTGGGGCTCAAGAGAATCAGGTCCCGTATCTCATCATCTGGAAAGATGCTCCATGAGGCATCCATAACTGTAGCTCCACTCACTCAAGGTCTTGGGTGATAGTAATAGTGTCAGACAGGATCAGCACTGGAAAGAAAAGCCTATCTCCCCAGAGTGAGCAAAGGCCCAACACCCCGTATGAAACTCAGCTGTGGGCTCCCTGTGCTGTTGAAACTGGCTACGAGTAGGAATGCTCTCCCACAGAAAATTCCTCTTAGGGTCTGGTTCTTCCCTCGCCAGGAGTCCAGTTGTATGTCACATCATCAAGTGAGCTGGGTCCCCGGAGCCAGTGACCACTGCCAGGCAGTCTGACTAGAACTGATCAGAGAAAAGGACCCCATACATTTGGGCTGTGTGCTGGCTGATTTTATGTCAACAACCCAAGCTAGTCATCCGAAAAGAGAAAACATCAGTTGACAAAGGCCTCCAAAAGATCAGGCTGCAAGCAAGTCCATAAGGCATTTTCCTAATTAGTGACTGATGGGGAAAGGTCCAGTCCACTGTGTGTGGAACCATTCCTGGGCTGGAGGTTCTGGGTTCTATATGAAAGCAGGCTGAGCAAGCCAGGGAGGCAAGCCAATGAGCAGGACCACACCATGGTCTCTGCATCAGCTCCTACCTCCAGATTTCTGCCCTCACTAATTTTGAGATGAACTGTTAAATGTAATGTGAGTGAAATAAGCCTTCTCCTCCTCCAGCTGTTTTTGGCGTTTTATCACAGCCATATGTATGTCAGGCTATTGAGTGAAAAGCAGGTCTCTGACACTTAAAGGAAGGGCTGTGAAACTAGCATCTTGCTTGATCATTTACCTCTTTCCAGACACATTTCTGGTACACGCAGATGAGAACTTCAGCTACATTATGCAGAATGAAAAACACAGGAACAGCCTGAAAGCAAACAAAATAACAAGCATGAAAATACCTTCTCCCATCTTTCAGCTACTTGACTTTTGTTTAAAAACAGGATGTATGGGAGCATGCAATATTTAGTCTCTGGAGCAAAGACTTTTTTTGCTGAAGTGTTCTTCATTTTTCCTCCAAGGTTTTCTTATTTATTCTCTATGAGTACTTTCTCCATGTGCTTGTGTACCATGTGCATGCAATGCCGATGGAGGCCAGAAGAGGGCATCAGATTCACTGGAAGACACTACGTGGGTGCTAAGAACTGAACCTGGGTCCTGCCAGAGCAGCAAGTGCTCGTAACCATTGAGCTGTCTCTCTAGCCCTTGAAGTGTTAATTTTGGTGGGGTGTATGTCCAGGCTTCTCTCCTACAGGTTTTTCACCCACAGTCGTAAGCACCTCCTGTGTATCAGGCACCATGCCAGTTGCAGGGCACAAATCCCATGAGCATGGTGGACACACTATGGAGAGCCTGTCCCCAGCACACAGCAGCTCAGGAAAGTTTTGTCTCACATATTGAGGCAACAACCGTGAGGCAAAGCGAGCTAACTAGGAATGGCTTTTGAAACCCCAAAGCCCACCCACCCCAATGACACACTTCCTCCAACAAGGCCACACCTCTTAGTCCTTCCCAAACAGTTACACCAGATGGAGACGAATCATTCAAACATACAAGCCTATAGGGACCGTTCTCATTCAGACCACAGTCAAGAAAGTGGAACCAGCTTACTAACTCTTTAAGGCCCACCCTACTGACCATTTCCTTTAGCAAAAGATCCACTTTCTAAAGGTTCTAGGGCCTTCAAATATAGAAAAATGTCCCACAGAAAACACTGATCCTGCACACATGCATGGCCTTTGGTCAATCTACACAGGTATACATAACCCTAGACTAGCTTCTTTTTTTATTACTATTATTACATCTTAGTTATTTCTGTGCATATAGGGAGTAGGTGAGTGTGGGCACATGGTATGCATGTAGAAGTCAAGGGACAGCTTGGAGGCATCAATTCTCTTTTTCTACCAAGTGGATCGCAGGGATTGAACTTAGGTTCTCAGCCTTATCAAACACGCATGTTTACCTGCTGAGTCATCTCACTGGCTCCCTGGGTTAGCTTCTTAATTTCTGTAAAACAATGGCAGTCCTGTTTCTTCTCTTTGGGTGAGTTTTAAATATGCAGATACATCCTTAATGTATTATACAAAATAACTGCACTTAGGCAGGCCCTCTCTGCAGAAAGCAACCTTGAGATGCTTGTTTTTCAAGACTGTATCTTAACACTATAGCCCAAGCTAGCTCGTAATTCACTATGTGTCCCAGAATGACCTTAAATTCTTGGCAATCCTCCTGCCTCAGACTCCTAAATGTTAGAATTTACAGGTATGAGCCACTATACCTGGAAATTTGTTTATTTGTTTGTTCGTTTTATGGATACCACACTGTTTTCCACAGCAGCCATACTATTCATTTCTGGTTTTTGACAGTACCGCCAAAGCACATACATTTCAACACGTCCTTACCAGCACTTGTGGTCTGATCACAGTAACCCTGATGGAAATGAAGTGGTGTTACCAGTAGTTAATATCTGCATTTTCCTTTTTTACAAATTATACTTAACATTTGTGGATGTTTTCCCTGCATATATATCTGTGGACAAGTGTGTGCCTGGTCCCTGCAGAGAACAAATGTCTATGGAGGGCTCAGCTACACATGGGACTTCCCTCATGTCTCCTCTGCACAAAACTTGGGCACCATCACTGAAGAAAGAGTCAGAGGCCAGTGAAGACTGGATCAAGAGGGCATCTTCTGAACATGACAGGACCACTGCACTCATGACCCCACAGCAGCTGCAGCTGACTACACAAGATAAGACAGCCAACACTGCAGTGTGGAGGCAGAAGTGGCTCACCTGTAGCTAAGGTGCTAGTGAGAGCAGATGGCTTCTAGTAGGATATGGGCTCTGGGGGACTGACCACAACCTCATGAATAGCCAACACCCATGAGTACATGAGCAGCACTAATTAAATGACTTAGAAGGTCTTTTTTTTTTTTTTCATTTTACATGTATAGATATTTTGCCTACATGTGTGTCTATGTACCATGAGAAGGTCACAACAGGGCATCAGATCCCCCAGGAAGTAGCATTATAGCTAGCTATAAGACATCATGTGAATGCGGGAAATCACACCTATGAGCTCTGCAAGAGCAGCCAGTATGCTTAACAACTGAGCTAACTCTCCAACCCCTTGGTGAATTAAAAAAAAAAAAAAAAAAGTAAAATTAAATTTAAAAAGACATGAAGCTGAAGAGGCTTGGACTCTGGTTCTAGGAGGAGTTGGAGGAGTAAACATGGTCTAAATACTTTGTATACATTTATGAAACTCTTAAGGATTTAATAAAATTACTATTTTTTTAAAGAAAGAATTGGGTATAGAGCTTACAGGTAGAGTGCTTGCTTAGCATGTGCAAAGTCATGGGTTCAGTCTTCAGCACCAAAGAAAGAAGGGTGGGAAAGGGGGAGGAAGTGAAGAAGGAAGAGGCATGAGGCCCATCTCTACTGGGCTATGAAACATGCTAAGGCAGCCTCCATTCTATATGACACTTACATGATTAACCTTTGTGGGTACAAATTCCTTTGTGTGGCGACAAACAATGAAAGGGGATTCTATTCTGCTCAGTAAGGAACTTGCTCCCTATGGGTTTAATTAACCATGTTTTTCTCCAGTCTATTTCCATCGCCTGTCCACTTATGACATGCTGAGTGACAACTATGCTTACAGAAGCCAGGAACATTGACAAACAATTAGAAGGACCAAGTTCAAAGATATGGGCAAAACACAAAAACCAACCCAAGACCAGGTATGAAACATGCCTGTACTTGCAGCACTGGGGAGGTAGGGACGGTCAATCCTCCGCTACAGTGGAGTTCTATGCCAGCCCGGGCCACATGACACATTGCTACCAAAAAGGGGAAAGGAAGGAGGGAAGGAGGGAAGGAAAGAGAGAAAGAGGGAAAGAAGAAGGAGAAGGGAAGGAGAGGTGGAATCCAATCCAGTCCTATTGAGCTACCCGATCTGCATTTGTAGTCTCTCTAGCTGCTCACCTTGGTCTTACCTACTCAGGAAAATATGCAGTGTGCTCTAATCAGGTAGCCAACACCAGTCCACTATTTACATATTTAAAATCAAAATAAACATATGTCCTAATCCCTTGGCACTCAGGCTTTGAGGCAATTCTGTCTTGCTGAGACTTTTGGCCAGGATTTAGAATGAAAGTAATAATTGCTTATCAGAGTTACACTGTCCAAAGACTGCTTTCAGGGCATGAGAGCCACCATCACTGTAACCTCATCCATTGTAGAAAAGCTGACAGGCAGGCCTGAATCATTCTGTGCAAAGAGGACAGGAAGTCCAACATAAATCCATAAGTCATCAAGATTGGCAACAGGAATGCCTCACACATCTTCACAACACACACTCAGCAGCTGTTCCTCTGGACATGTGTCTCTCTTTGGCCACACCCCTTTAATTTCCTCAGGGTCAGAAACCATGTCATCTATGTCTTTAAGAACACAGTACATCTAAATGCCTACATGCTGAATAGCTATGAAATAACCCTCCCAGGGTTGGGGATATAGCTGGGTTGGTGGAATGCCCGCCTAGTAAGTACTACACTAGAATGTGAGTCAATGCTCTACTCCCCCAAGACCTGCTGTGAACCAAAAGTCAACTCAACTCCACAATGTACTTAGGGCTTACGGAGCATAAGATCCTGTGTCAACCCCAGGACAGCATAAGCCAGATACGTCACTGCATCTCTGCCATCCTAGACAGGAGAATCACAAGTTCAAAGTCATCCTCAGCTACAGTTTTAGGACAGCCTGGGTCAGATGAAATCACTCCTCAAAACAAATAACAATGACAACAAAGAACATGCAAATGCTCTCTTCTCTTCTAACCTCGACATGTCAGTCAACTTCAGTGTGATGTGGGAAACACACGAAAACTCCCTACATGGCCCAGCGAAGCTTGTTTGGCTCCCAGGTGCTGTACAACACAGAGCTTCAAGACTTTGTCAGATCAAGAAGGTCTTCCTGAAGCACAGCTAGTCAAGGGTCTTGTATATCAATACACCCATGATGTTAACTGCCCTTACCCCCAGTTCTTCAGATTCATTAACTGACAGTTTGGCACCAGAATAGTGAGGAATGCTTTCCATCCAACACAAACTGAGTTCCCGGTGTTTATCCACCTAGGAATGGCTATGCAGCAATGTAAAAACAAAGAACTGAAAAGATGTTTGGTTGAATTATGTCACTAAAAAACAATACCAAATGTCTCCTGCTCATTGTCCTCCAGCTCCCAAAGGACATAGGGGGTTGGGGTGCTTTTTCTAACATTTGAATTGAGCAGCGACCCCAATCTAAGTGAAGCCTGGGACTCGATAGAGTCATTAGGAACCAGTCTCTGGGGTGATATTTTGCTTGTGCTATAACAAATAAAGCTTGCCTGAAGATCAGAGTATGGCTAGTTAGCCATAGAGGACAGGGAGTGGTGGCCACACCTTTAATCCCAGAACTTGGAAGGTGGAGACAGAAGTAATATGGTTAGGCAGAGAGAGGAATATAGGGCAGGAAGACACAGAAGTTCTTGGCATTCAGTCTGAGGATTCCTAGGGACAGCACCAGTTTGAGGTTTCATGGAAACAGAATCTTGTCCCCTTTGTTCTGGGGATTCAGTAGAGGTAAGAACTAGTGGCTGGCTGCTCCATTTCTCTGATCTGTCAGAATTTACCCCTATATCTGACTAATTAGAATTTGTAACACAACTCTCCTTAGGAACTGTGAGGTGAGACTGAGGTTAGTGACACCAGAGAGAAGGGGGTGACACTGGGATAGTTATGTTGTATAAGTGAAAGACAAAGAGACAAACCGGATTTTCTGGGTATGTCACTCCAGTTCCCTTGCAGGCCTGAAGTGGGTGTCTATCTTATGACTTACTTTCATGGAGAGTGCTCTTCCCTGTTACTTAGACTAGAGTGAGCTTTCTAACAAACTAAACAGTTCCATGTGGCCAGGCTAGACTTTCTAACAAACTAAAACAGTTCTATGTGGCCAGGCTTTGTGGCACACACTTGTAATCACAGCTACCGCTCAATTGACTAAGGACAAAGAATTGTAAGTTAAAGCTAGAATGGGCTACAGAGGAAGACGGTTTTTTAAAAAAGAAAAGTCCAGGCTAGAGAGCTGGCTCAGTGGTTAAGAGCACTGATTCTTCTAGAGGTCCATGGTTCAATCCCCACATGGCACCTTACACTTGCCTGCAACTCCAGCTCCAGGGAATCTGACACCCCCACAGACACACATCAGGTAAAACAACAATATGCACATTAAAAATCATTTAATAATTTTAAAGCTTTAACTTTGAAGACTCCCCATGGAAGGCCTCACCCCTCCTGGGATGGAGAAAGGAAATGGGATGGAGGTTGGTGGGGGGAACAGGGGAGGACAGGAGGTTGTGGGAACTGGGAGTGACATATAAAACAAGCTTGTTTCAAATTTAAATTTAAAAAATTAGTTAAAACAAAATTTTAAAGCTTTTCTAAAAAACAAAAAGTCTATATGCACTAGTTCTTAAAGAGACAAATTTGAAAAAGACAAAATATAACAAACCATTAGAGCTGCCAATATTTGGGGACTAAAGGCAGGTTTTTACATCTGTTTCTTCCTCCATCAACGACTAGTATTTGCCTCATCCCTCACTTGTCCAGTGATTATCATTCACATAAAGGAGTGTTGCAGAGATGGCACATGCATGAGTTGAGTTCAGATTCCCAGAAGCTACCTAAAAGCTAGGTGTGAACATGCATACCTCTAACCTAAAAGCCAGTGTGAAGGTGCACATGTCTAACTTAAGAGCCAGGTATGAAAATGCACATCTGTAACCTAAGAGCCAGGTGTGACGATGCACATCTGTAAACTAAAAGCCAGGTGTGAAGGTGAACATCTGTAACCCCAGTGCTAGAGGGAGTGGCGATAAGCTGATCCCAGGGTCTCACTACCTAGCTAGTATAGTTGAATCTGTGAGATACCTTGAGGTGGGGTGGGGTAGTGAGAGGGAGGGAGTGTGTGTGTGTGTGTGTGTGTGTGTGTGTGTGTGTGTGTGTGTAGTGGAGTATGATAGAAGATTTTTTCACTGGTAAAATGGTCCAGGGGATGCTGAGTGCAGCTGGGAACACAAGTATGGCACAAAATGGACTAGTTCCTGGGGTACTGGTAAAGTTAGTTGTTCATTCTGTCTTCCTATTTTCTTATTCATCAGCCCAGCCCCTCCAGGACTGAGCTCCTCAAATGTGTGGTTTCTGAAAAACAGAGATGCCTCCCAATCCAGAACTCCACATCCCAGAGATAACATGAAGCATGTTTTCTGCTTTTGTTAATTGAAGGTAACTAGAAAATATGGGAGGGCCAGCTTGTCTCACAAGGTAGAGATGGGCAAAGAGAGAAGCATTAGCAACAATTGTGAAGTCTGACCCAGTTAGGCCTCACCTGAGCAGCTTTGACATGGAGGCCTCAGCACTGTGCCTGAATGCAATTATCCTTGGAAGCAGAGAGTTCAGACTAAGCCTTTCCCTGCTACTGAGGAGTTGGAACTGGGTGTTATAGGATATTCTTGTACACTGTGAAGATGTGTCTCTACTAAAGCACCTTCTTACTGGCTTAATAAAGAGTTGAATGACCAATGGCTAGGCAGGAAAAGATAGGTTTGCCTATTAAGTGTCCTCTCAGAAGGGCTGACATCTGCAGGCTTGGTCTCTGAGTAGCAGTACTAATTTAGCAAAGCCTGGAAACTTTAGGTAGCAAGACCTCTAGTAGGTTCTTGGGGCAGGCCTTTGAAAGTCATTCCTGGCCCTCTTTGTTCTATCTTGCTGTTTCCCAACTGCCATGGTGTGAACAGCTCAGCCACATCCTCCATTGTCATGGTGTTCAACCTTACCACAGGCCCAAAACCTAAGAGGCTGGGACATTCTGAAACAATGAGACAAAGTGTGTTTCCTTAAGTTGTTCCCTTGGGTATTTTGATCACAGCTCCCCTATTCTCTCATCTAGTTTTACCTGCAAGCCCAAATGGTGCCAGGTGCAACAAATTAGAACACAAAGGACAAAGGGGTTATGTGTCCTCGTCATGGCCGTTGCCATGTCTTCCCCCCTCCCCCACCACACACACACATTCTAATACTTACCAGTCTGGACAAAGCTCTGGACCCTGCATAGATTATACCCACGAACAGCACTGAAGCAGGAAGCCATGCCAAAAAATTAGATCTGAAAAGAGGGGAGAAATTATAATGCTTTGGCTACTTCATGTTTGAAAAGATCTAGCTGGATCTAGCTTCAACTCATTCCACCAAGGTTGTGTATACATCCTTGGGGGACCTGTTAAGTGAGATGTGCTCTTTACTCACTGAGACATCTACTTAGCATCCAGGAGCACCCCCAAAACTGAACATGGTACTGTTGCATGCTCAGGGAGAGGAAACAGCTGATTTTATTCAATGATGGTAATTTTCAAGTATACCAATAAATTTTTTAAAGACTGTTCACATAAAAAGTTTCAAACAGCTTCACAGAATCACAACATGGACAAAAATCTAGAAAAAAAGGTTTTTATAGAAACCTGGGGTCTTTAACAGGGTAGTATTCTGGCTTCTTCAAATGTTAATCTGGAATTCTGGAGTAGCCTTAGGATACACTTGTATGGCTCAGGTTGGTCATACTAGGATCAGTTTGTTTGTTTGCTTGTTTTCACTAGAGTCTAGAATCTTGTTTTCCCCCAAAATAAATAAATAATCTGGGAGTGGTGGCTCACACCTTTAACACTTGAGAGGTGGAGGAAGGTGGGTCTTTGTGAGTTTAAGGCCAGCCTGGTCTACACAACAAGTTCCAGGATAGCCAGGACTATATCATGAGGTCCTATCTCAAAAACAAAAACAAAAATAAGAGATGAGAATTGAACATATAATACACTTGCTTCCTCTCACTGGAGTTGTAAGTGAAGCCTCACTACTACTTGAGGGTCCCAGAGTCAGTGTCACATGAATAAACATAACTGAAACTATCTGAGCAATAGACAACATAATCACCCAAAGCATTCAACCACCACCAATGTGTCTGCAAACTCACAAGAAGTCTTCCCTATTACTGTGCAGGACAGGCAGTCAATCAAAGATGAGACCTCAACCTAGCATACCAATGTCCCAGGCTCCATGATGGCCTCTAAATCTTACTGACTGTATCAGTTGCAATGCTGACAGCAACCAACTTATAAAACTCTAGGACTCGCTGTGAACAGTGACCTCACAGTTTAATCAGGCACTATGTTAAATGTTTTCCATGCTTTAAAAAAATATGTATGTATGTATGTATGTATGTATGTATGTATGTATGTATATGTATATGTATATGTATATGTATATGTATAGACTTTTGTGTGTCGGCATATATGTGTAGAACCCACAGACGCCAGAAGAGGGCAGGAGATCTCCCAAGACTGGAGTTACAGAGAGCTGTGAGCTAACATTCGGGTACTGGGAATCTAATTGAGGTTTGGACCAGTAGCAGTGAACCTAACCACTGAGCCATCTTTCCAGCCCCATGCTACATTAAAAAAAAAAAAAAAAAAAAAAAAAAAAAAAAAATTCCACACAGTAGGGGCTAGGGAGATGGCTCAGTTAGCAAGGTACATGATATACAAACATGAGGATCTGGGTAACATCCCCAGTACCCATGTAAAATGTGGGTGTGGTGATACACCCCTGTAATCCCAGCAGTGGCGTGATAAAAGAATCTTTGGAGCTTAATAGTCAGCCTGGCTGAATCTGAGGGCTCCAGATTCAGTAAAAAACATGTCTCAAAAATTAAAAGTAGACAGCCAGGATTTCTGAATCTTCTTCGAATCCCCCATGACAGCGCCCCTTACCAGCAGGAAGTAGTTTGGAAAGAACAACGCCCAAATTCCCAAATATTGTCTATAAATGTTTGTTTTCATTTAAATGGACTTGGTTATATAAAATAAATAAAAAAATTAAAAGTAGACAGTGATTGAAGAAGGCACCCAAAGTCAATCTCTGGCCTGTGTACACATGTGCACATGAATATACACATGTATACACACAAATAAAAAAAATCCACACAACAATCTCATGATAAAAATATCTGACCTAACAATAGTTAAGATTGTTAACCAAACACTTTTTCAACTTTATGACAAAGGGAGAGCATTCCCAAATGCCCACTCTGCTTTCGACTTTCAATACAGTACTCAATCCATTACATAGTAAACCATAGGAAAGTTCTCCCCCTCTTACAGACACTGAAAGGTGTAGGGAGTACAGCTTAGAATAAGCACTGGATAAACCAGGACTGTCAATCACATGAACCTATTTTCTCCAACGGAAGGAAATAAATGATGCCTAGTCACCTGGAATGCCAGGGTAAAAAGTGGTCAATCAACCTGCTGATGTTTTGCTATTCTGTGATCCAGCCTCCTTGAATCCCCCAGTATCCTAAGTATTGTTCAGGCCCTAATCCTGAGCTTAGTCTCTCAGTGAACAGAGCACATCCCTATTAAAGAGACCCCATGCTCTTTGCACCCTCCACTAATAAAATCTATCCTTACACCTATCACAGATCCTTCTCTAGGCCCCAGCCCTGAGCTCTGTTTATCAGCAAATAGAAATCTTTCTTATTGTAAAAGCCACAGGTCACAGTTCTACTATGCTTAAATGTGTAAGGCTCAGGCCCTGGAGTGTACTTGGTTGTTTGACTCTTTGGGGTCCTGCCACCTAGCTCCCAAATAAATCACACATGGAGGCTTATTCTTTCTTATGAATGCATGGTCTTGGCTTGGCTTGTTTCCAGCCAGCTTTTCTTAAATTATCCCATTGACTTTATGCCTCTGGGCTTTTAGCTTTCTCTATTTCTGTTTCTTTCTTTACTTCTTACTCTGTGTCTGGTTGTGTGGCTGTCCCTTCTTTTCTCACTCCTTGTTTCCTTCTTTTTTTTTCTCCCATTTATTCTCTCTGCCTGCCAGTCCCACCTATCCTTTCTTCTGCCTTGCTATTGGCCATTCAGCTCTTTATTAGACCAATCAGGTGTTTTAGATACAGAGAAAGTAACACAGCTTCACAGAGATAAACAAATGCAACAAATCTTTGCATCATTAAACAAATGCTCCACAGCATAAACAAATGTTAACACATCTTGAAATAATATTCAACAACACTGGAGGCCTTGACCCAGAACCCACAAAGATGGCACTGTCAGCCAGGCAGTAGTGGAGCACACCTTTCATCCTAGCACTGAGGAGGCAGAGGCAGGTGGATCACTGTGAGTTCCAGGTCAGCCTGATCTACAGAGCAAGTGCTAGGACAGCCAGGGCTACACAAAGAAACCCCATCTTGAAAAACAAAAAAACAAACAAACAAAAAACAAGCAAACAAACAAAACAGGCACTGTCCCAAGTTCTCAGTCTTATCTCTTCCTGGTTCATTTTCCTGCCAGTGGCAGTACCTGCAAGAACTCCTGCTGGGTCAATGCAGACAAGCTTTCTCACCTGGGAAGTGAGTTGACATGAAAGAGCTCTGATGTTACAGCACAGACACCATGCACCCTGTTCCACCTTCTTCTATGCCTCCAGCCTGGCACCCAGACAGCCTGACAGTGGCTGCCACTATCAACTTCCTGTCATCCACTAAGGTCTAAGAGGCTCCTTCCTCTGGCATTTTTGCTCTGGTTCTCCTCTTCCACACCTCCTCTTCTTCCACCTGTCCCTGGTGCTGGGGCTTGAATTCTTCCCAGTCCACCTCTTTCTTTTTGTCCACGGTGTTAATGATAACTCGAGTCCTGGTAATCTGTCTCAATGTCTTGGATAGCCTGTCCTATTCACATTTCAGTAATATCCAACAGTGTAAGATGGGCTCTGTGCTAGATGATTTTCTAAGTGCTTTGAGCATTCAGGACAGGCTAGACAAACCTCCAATGTGCTCAAGGTTCAGTTTACGTATATAAAATGCTTTGTTTGCTTTTGTTTTTATTTTGAGACAGGGTCTCATGTAGCCTAGGTTAGCCTTGAACTTACTATTTAGCCAAGACTGGCTTTGAATTCCTGATCCTTCTACATCTATTTATCAAACATCAGGGTTATAGGTATTCACCACCATGCTTTGTTTGCATTTTCTACTTACAAAGCAATACAGAAATAGTGTTCTTGAGAACAACAGAGCCTTTCTTGGAGAGTTAGAGCTCTGGAAAATTCAATGTCCATTATGGTAGTTTGAATTAAGAATGGTACCCACAGCCTCATATAATATTTGAATGCTTATTTGAAAGGATTAGGAGGTATGGCTTTGTTGGGATAGATATGGCTTTTTTGGAAAAAGTATGTCACTGAGGGTGGGTTTTGAGGTTTCAAAAGCCCATGCCAGCTCCGGATGTGGATGTGAAACTTTTGATGCTTCTCCAGCACTATGTCTGCATGCATGCTGCCATGCTTATTGCCATGATGACAATGGACTAAACCTCTGATACTGTAAGCCAGCCCCAATTAAATGCTTTCTTTTATAAGAGTTACTGTGGTCATGGTGTCTCTTCACAGCAATAAAACACTGACTAAGACAGCCACAAATAGCTTTCTGGTTCTTGTCTCGAAAAATCAAAGAATAAAAGAAAGCCAGACAACCTACAGAATGGTAAAAGATCTTTAGCAACCCATCTGACAGAGGACTAATCTCTAAAATTTACAAAGAACTCAAGAAACTAGACATCAAAAGACCAATAACCCAATTTTAAAAACAGAGCTAAACAGAGAACTCTCAACAGAGGAAGAGAATTCTTAAATGGCCAATAAACACTGAAGGAAATGCTCAACATCCTTAGCCATCAGGGAAATGCAAATAAAACAACCCTGAGATACCATCTTACACCTGACAGAATGGCCAAGATTGATGATAGCTTATGCTGGAGAGGATGTGGAGAAAGAGGAACACTCCTCCATTGATGGTGGGAGTGCAAACTTGTACAGCCATTTTGGAGACTAGTATGGCTGTTTCTCAGAAAATTGGGAATCAGTCTAGCTCAAGATCCAGCAATACCACTTTGGGGCAAATATCCAGAGGGTGCACACTCACACCACAGGATATTTGCTCAACTATGTTCATAGCAACATTATTTGTAATAGCCAGAACCTGAAAACAAGCTAGATATCCCTCAACCAAGGAATAGATAAGGAAAATGTAGTACATTTTCACAATTCAGTACTACTTAGC